AAAAAAAAAAAAAAGATTATTTGACAATTATTTTTAAATATATTCCAGTCTGGAGTTTTGTGAAGACCCTGCAGACCACCGGACCCTCAGAACCAGTAGTAGATTTCCAGTAGATTTCAGTTCTCAGCTAATTTTTAAATGTTTTGTGACATCAACCAGTCTATGTTGTGTAAGATAGAAAAGCACTGTGAGCAACTACTGCCCCCCCCTGGATATTTTAGGACCTTGCTTGCACTTCTACCCCCCCCCCCCTCATCCACGCACAGACTTTACCGTATTCTCCAAAACGCAGAGAGTCCCACTGTCTCCACTCCACAACAGCACTGACGGCTCTTACTCCTGTGTATATGAGCAACATTCCCAGAGAGGCATCCAAAAGGAAGTTAATGAGGTATCTGCGGAGAAACGTACACATGTTTACATCTGTTAAGTTAAAAACCTAAAGCATCTCGACTTAACAGATTTTTGTTGCAGGATGCTGTGAAGAACGCCACTCACAGTGAGCAGGGATCCTGTTCTGTGAGGTCTGACAAGTAGACGTTAGCAAAGTGGATGAAGAGCATCCCGATCGCTTGTTTGGAGGTGTCCAGGAACCTGCAGAGACACAAGTTGAGTCCACCCAGTAATATTCACAAGAGGCCTTTATCTTGGACAAATTACCAGATCTTCCAGGGTCTCCTCTCGTGTTTGGGCTCCCTGAAGCGTTTCACTGTGAAGGAAAGCGTAGAAATGAGCCGGGAGGATTTTATATTAAAATTACACATACCATATTTTCCACTGTACACGTTACACCGCCTTATAAGTTGCATCAGCCCAAAGATGTCTAATAAAGTGGAATCCATAAATACGTTGCTTCGTTGTATACGTCGCATCTATTATGCGTCACCGCTGACAACCTGAAAATATGGGCTGGTGTGCCAAAAATCGATTGGCTGCCAAATGGAGGCCGCGGGAGCGTGCACGGGAGGACTTTAACAAGATAAACACCTAAAACAACTATTTGTTTGCTCGACTTTATAGTAAAGGTGTGTCTCAGTCTAACGTTTGCTTAATAAAAGGACTTTAACGGTCAAATCAGCTGTATTTCAAAAGCATTCACTGCCTCGGTGCTCCCGGGAGCGTGCAGGAGGGGAGAAAAAAGGAGGAACGCTGCTCGTTTCTTCGAAATTTAGCAAGACAAGCACCTAAAACAATTATTTGTTTGCTCAAGATTATAGAAAAGGTGTGTCTCAGTTGAACTTTTACTTAATAAATGCACTTTAATCGTCAAATTAGCTGCATTTTGCCGGGACGTTGCAGCGAAATGAAGACGATTTGACGGTTGCTCCAAGCAGCGAACAGAACGAAGGTGGCAGGCTATGGCAAGCCAATTGTGTCTTTAATAGCTGGTGAAGATTCTCAGTCATCCAGGACATGATAAATTCAAAAAAGTTCAAGATAAAAGTAATAAAGTATAATAAATAAAAGTCCAATTGTTCTTGTCTTGAACTTGAATTTGTCATTAACAGCCACTTTCACCTGTTACAAGATACAACGGCATGCCATACTCCTCTGCTGCCATCTAGCAGCTGAAAATGGTAATGTTTAATTTTTTCCAGTCAGAATGAATGAAAACGGTCACATCTCTGCCAAAAATTGTTTTATAAATATGGGGAAAAAACATAAATACGTTGCTTCGGCCTATAGTCGCAGGACATGTAAATTATGCAAAAAGCATGACTTCTAGGGGGAACAACACAGTAATCACAGAGGTTAGAGTTAACTAAAGATACCCTCCTCTGTTTTCATTAAACTAAAATAAAAACGTGTGGCTCATTATGGCAGAACAAAAACCAAGCAACAAGTAAAATTACTCGCTTCTCCGATCTTACACAAATGTGACACGTTTTTACATCATCAGCTATTTCTAATCAACAGGAAACAGAAAAGGTGCAGTTAAAGTCAAAAGGGAAAGCACAGCAGACAACAATTTGCTTAGATTTCTTGTATTTTCAACGGAATGAAAGTAAAAGAGGAATAAGATATTAAAGATTCCCTTGTTAGCATAAAACCTTAAATCTGGTGACGTAGTGTAACACTGTACAAAGCACCACAAGGTAAATAAAAGGCACTACAGAGTCTAAATATTCATAAAACCACTGAGCTGTAAATTATGTTTTGAAGTTATCACTTGAACCAGTCATGTGCAGTCCCTGTGAGGGTGTTCATTGTTCACCGTGCAGCAGAGACACAAACTAAACTCCTCCTCTTCTTCACAATAGCTGCTTGTTTTCTGCGACGCTTCCACCGACGATGACGCCGACCACGTCGTTAAAAACCTGCGAAACTTCAGCTGAGCTGCAGCTCGGACACGTACCAGAGACGTGCTTTAGTTTTTAAAGAGCCAGCTAAGTTTACAAGTTGTGACCTCAGTTTGACTCAACACACCCTGAGCTGCAGCTGGGTGTAAGGCCGACCTCCTCTTTCTGCCCACTGGTCTGTCTTGCACACAAAGAGGAAAAATAAATACGGAACAGTCCTGTTGACTGAGCTGCACCTCCAGCACAAAAGGCTAGGATTTCTTAAATTAGGTTACAGCTGACGGTGCGATTCTCGCTGAGGATTTTGTTTCCTTTGTGCCGACTTCAACTCATCTGTCTGAACCGTCTGAAGAAGAGGAAGTCAAATTAGTGAAGAGGTGAAAAACAACATCTGGACACAGGAAAATTAAAAAACAAATATCTCTCTGTAACCATCAACAGTGAGTTGTAAAACTTTTTTTAACGACGCGTGAAGTAGTCATCGTTTGTACAACTACGTCCGCAGTCGTTCCAGTTCAGGATCGTCTCCACAGCTCGGTGATTTAACAAAACTGACCATAATTCGGACAGTTTTACGAACAGCGAGCAAAAATTTGACGCAAAAGCCGAGTCATTCACAAAATATACCCATCTTGCAAACTACAGCGTGGTCGACTCCTTCAAGCAATCAGGCTTTTAATTCTTTATGAGCTTTACAAAGCTTGGCCTAAATCAGCAGGCGTGTGCTCAGTTCAAGGGAACTTCTAACGCTCGTCATGACAGTAAACTCTTCCTCGCCATTACTTCCCTAATTCAATGCCACTCTTTTAAATGTCACCTCCGTCATAGATTAAGTGAACGTATCTAACGTTTTGTGCATGTCGTTTTATTTTGAAATAACTAAAAATGCTTAGCACGAATAAACTATTAGAAAGGAGACTGCTTTGCGCTCACAGTGCACAAGAACTATTGTTCGTCCCTGACTGACGTGTTAGTTACAGAGCTGGCAGTATGCAAAGTGTTGTGGATGTATGGATGTAAACAAACAAGGACTGAAGAAGGCCTCTGGATAAAAGACGAAACGTTTCAACAAAGAAGAATCTGTCCAGAGGACCTGACTCAACCGTGGTGGTGTTTCAGCTGTGGGTTGTGTTTGAAACCCCTTTCCTGCTCAAAAAGTGACACATTTAAAGAAGCCGAGCCCTTTGAAGCTGGGATGAGGAGGACATTAAGCTCGTCTGGAAACCTGGAGAAAAATAACACGAGAACCACAACTATCAACACCTGCCACTGTGGATCAAAACTGTTTCTGTTCAGGGGTGGGCTTTAGCTCTGCCAGCTGAGATCACCATGACATTTCATTAATCCAGATGTTAAATGACACCATACTCACACATCAGGATGCTGAAAGCCATCATAGCCAGGAGGCCTTGCAGGAAAATCCCAAAGGAGTCCATCAGGGCGCCATTCTCGCAACCCCGATTATCAGTGCCCGGGGTCGGGCTGGTGGACACAGACGTGTTGGCGACAGACACCACAGGTAGACTCCCATCCCCGGCCATGGTTCCACCACCTACAGACAGATCCAGGACTACAGCCCCTCTCAGAGACAGTCTCCTGTAGATGCTGGTCAGCAGGTTAGGCAGGACGGTCTGCAGTGAACGACGGCGGCATCCTCGTCTGAAAACTCCTTCTCATCGTGCTTCACACGGCCATGAGCTGGACAAGCTCTCCGAGTTATCAGTCCAAACGCACCTGCTGGTCAAAACATGGACTCCTGTCTACATGCTAACCTCAGAAAGGAAAGGCTAACACGGAGCCAAGTTAAACACGACGATGTAAAGACGACCAGGCGAGTTAAAGTCCACGACAGCCAACAATTAAAATAAATGTCCCCCCGGACACAACATCCAGGGTTCAAGCGGTCCAGATGTTCTTCTCAGCCCGCTAGCAGCTAAAGCTCCTCCTCTACGTTTAGCTAAAATAGCCAACAAAGCAAAGTGAGCGTTCCTCGCGCGCTACACAACACGCGCACTGTGGTTTGAGACTTTCTGGTGAAACATGAAACGTGAGAAACCAGGTCACAGGTCGCGTCTCTGCAGCTTCTTCCCGACACAGCTGTCCTCTCCAGTTGACAGGCGCTGGGTCACGTGACCTCAACGTAGCCGCGCACTGCATGCTGGGAAATAAAACAACCGGGTTGAGCTTTTTTTTTATTTTTGCGGGTTTTGTTTTTGAATACTTGCGATGATCTTCAAACATCAAATAAGTTTGTTCTACTCCTTTTAACGAATGAACCAACAAGTAAATTGGCAAACAATGGAAGACAAAATTAATACAATAAATCACACTACATGAAAATAACAAATTACAAAAGCTTTTTAAAAACTGCAGTCTGTTAAAACTACTCCGCGGATTTGACTCAATTTTTTTTAACCTAATGTATGAAAGTTTAGGTCTATTCTGTGCAAATATATTGTATAATTTGGACATTTACACATTTGTTATGCAGACAATATATTTTTTTCTTTCAAATCACCCTGTTGCACTAAAATATTTAAATATGTACATTATGTACAAACATGCACTGTAGTAAACCACCACGTGTTTCTGCGTGTGCTTTCATCACAGGATCCTCACTGGAAACCTCTGAAATATTGCAGGACAAAAAACAAATTGAAAAATCTAAAGAAAAATTATTATTTGCAGAAAATTAATATGTTGCATGCTTACAAGTCAACGCATTACCAGCAATGTGTTGAGACTATTATTGCATTTTTTAACTTATCAAATTATTATTTTTAGCGCTTCCTTTAACCATTATTTGATGCAACTGATTGCTTGATTTCTGAGGAAAGGCAGACTCAACTGGTTTTTTGAGTCTACAGCAACTGAGCACAGTACACTGGCTTCCAATGTGGGCTTACCCAAGGGAACTATCTGTAGATTTAAAGGTCACAACAGAAAACAGAAGATTCATTATAATCTTGGGCAAACAATGACATGTACTACTTTAACTTCTTAAAATAAGGTAGAAAATGCAAATGCTCATATCAACAGTTGCAGGAGTGATGCTCATTCACTCTACTCCAGGACAAGAAAGATGAAGGAACTAAGAAACTCAAATAGGTTAGATATGAACATCAAAGGGTGCCAAGTTCATGCTCATGTTTTAAAACCTTTGTGCATCAACGCGTCTTCCACTCTTCCTTTGTGCCTTCACCCAGTGAGCTTACAAAATGTTTTTGATCCTTTTTCTTGGCTCTTTTGTCCCTGAGGCTCAGGAAATGTTGCTTCACCAACCATGTTTGTGTGAACAGATTCTTAAAAACTGTTTGTTTTTTAAGAAAACCCATCAAAGCTGTACATCTTCCATGTTTTCCCAGAAAGAATATGCAAAGCAGGATGCAGCCACGTCCCATAAAACTTGTCCATCAACTACGTAGCAAACTGTTGATAAAATGCCAGTTTGACCCTCTCGATGTGGTGGCACAGCTTGATGGCCGGCCCTAGCTTCAGATCCATGCACTCCTGCACCGTCGGAAGGTTCAGCAGCAGCAGCGCCTGCCCGTCAATCTCCTGCAAACACACATTTTCAAGTGAGACCAAGTTTCTATAAAGATTTGTATTAATCACTTTAATATCTGACCATTTATAAACGTCAAATTATAACTCAAAGGCTATTTAGTCTGATTTTTATTTTTTATTTTACTTGATCCAAGAAAATCCTTGCGAGAGGTGCACAGTCTGTGGTCCTGATGAAGCGAACCACGTCAGAAACGCTCCACTCCAGTGGGCTGGTGTCCAAACACAACTTCTGAGGAGGCTCAACCTTTGACGCCTGCAGACACACAGGAGCAGCGCGGCAGAAAAACTCAGAACATCACATTCAAACATTTCACAAACGTCCTTTGAGTCTCACTGAGAGCTTCTTAAATGAAGTCCACAAAAACACTTTATTTCACTAAAGCAGAATTTTAATGTTAAAACATTAGAGCTTGATATGCACCGTATTTTTCAGCTTATAAATCGCAGTTTTGTGCATAATTTTCATGCCCTGCGACTTACAGGCCAAAGCAACATATTTATGTTTTTTTCCCCATATTTATAAACCAATTTTTGGCTGAGATATGAGCGTTTTCATTCATTCTGACCGACAATATTGAACATTGCCATTTTCAGCCACTAGATGAGAGCAGAGTAGTATGGCATGCTGTTGTACCATGTGGCTATTAATGACATAATTGGCTTGCCATGGCCTGCCACCTTCGTCTGCCTGGAGCAACCAAATCAGATTCATTTTGCTGCGCCGCCCGACGAAATGCAGCTGATTTGACCATTGAGGTGCATTTATTAAGGAAAAGTTAGACTGAGACACACCTTTAATATAATTTCGAGCAAACAAATTAATTGTTTTTAAATGTTAATCTTGTTAAATTTTTGTTAAAGTCCTCCCGTGCACGCTCCCGCGACCGACATTTGGCAGCCAATCGTTTTTTGGCACATCGGCCCACATTTCCTGGTTGTCAGCCGTGACGCGTAACAAACATGACGTGTCCATGGTGACACATAATAGATGTGACGTATACGGTGAAGCGATGTATTTACGGATTTTTCTACTTTATTAGACATATTTGGACTTATGCGACTTATAGGGCGGGGCGACGTGTACGGCAAAAAATACGGTAATTGTCTTTTTTCAATGAGGGAAAATTGTGAAAAATAACGTTCTCTCTGTTACCTTGGGTGAAGGCGGGTGGTTCTCATCATCAGAGAAGGAGGGCGAGCAGGGTTTCCGGCGTCTGCGCGAGGGCCTGGGTGTTGCTGGTGGGGAGGGGGATGGTGTGTTGGGATGAGATTTACTGACCGACTGTTCAGAATCATCCTGGAGGTCATCCAGCATCTCGGAGCTAGTGTCTTCACTCAAGGAGTCATCTTCATCCAGATCCTCCTCTTCCCCGCTGCCCTGTAGCACAAAATACGAGCACAATTTAAGTTTTTATCGTTTAAATGTAGCCTAACAAAGAAAATGTGTTTCTCCTACCTGCGGAGACCCAGCAGGGGTGTTGTCCACCGAAGCCGAAGAGCGCCTCTTTTTATGGACAAACAGCTGCTTCCTCCTCTTCCTCCTCCTTCCTCTCCTCTTCACACCGCTATCTAAATTAGTTTGTCCCCCAGGAGGACGACCAACACGTTTACTCTTTTTCTTTCCATAGTAATACGCTGGTGAGAAAGTGACATACCTTCTGTAAAATAACGCAGCTAACAGCGCTAATGGAATCAACATATCGCTGGCGATAATTTAAAATTAATTTTTGTTTTCTAAGAAAACTTGTAAAAATTTCAACTGTAATCATAAATAATCCAGCAGTGATTTAAATAATGTGCAATCAAATATTTGTTTAATCACCCCAAATCCGTGGTGCAGCTGCAAAAAACATTGAAAAACATGTGACACCTTCAAAGTTCATGCTCAATAATCCAGGTAAAAAATCCAACAAAGTTCAGTCAGGTCATCTGGATGGTTTCTTTTTTTGCTGAGACGTTTCTTCCTTCATCCAAAGGACTTCATCAGTCCGAGGAGCCACAACAAACTCAGTCCCACAAGCAGCACACCCACATAGTGGACCAACCAGTTTGCTGGCGAGAAGATGGTTTCTGGGGCCCGCCCTCTCTCCCGTCAATTCCTCCGAGGCAGCGTGGCTAGCCTAGCCAAGTGGTTCAAAACATGCGGGTCCACTACGTGGGTGTGCTGCTTGTGGGACTGAGCTTGTTTGTGGCTCCTCAGACTGATGAAGTCCTCTGGATGAAGGACGCAACATTTCAACAACAAAAAAGAAACCGTCCAGATAACCTGACTGAACTTTTTTATATGTGACTTCTTGTAAAAAAATAAAAGATAAAAAAAAACTGCATGAGATTAAAAAAAAAAAGTTTTTCTAAAAATCATGTCTCTTCTTTGAAACAAAAGTCAACTCAGAGTAATTCTAAAGCTTTGTCGCTTTGCATCATATGATGAATCTGCTCCACAGGACACTTCATACATTTATAAACACAAACAAAACAAAGTATCTGGAAAAGTGAGAAGCTAACTTCAAAGGCTGCAAAAAAAAATCTTGTTAAAACATTTTTTACCCCTTTAAGTAAGAATGCAGTCAGATAATTATATATTGTATTCTGTAAAACACGTACTGTATTTGGTCTTGGTGAGGACAGAGCAGTTCTCCGAGCAGTGCTCTAGAACCATGCGTGGTCCAAACAGGTTTGGGCAGCACTCCAGTTTGATGCAGGTCTTCCTGCAGAAGTCTGCCACTCGGTCTGCAGTGCGAACAATTTCCACCGTTGCTCTGTAACTCTTTCCCTTGTACCTGACATTTAAAAGAAGAAGAAGAAAAAGAAAAGTAGGTTTTTTTTTTATAAACTTGCAGAATAAAACACTTTATAAACAAGAAGTAAAATGTGCCTGCTGGTTTTAATCACTTAAGCTTCTGTTAAATTTGTCGGCGCAAACATTTCCTCTAAGTTCAATAAATAAATCACTCCTTTAGTGAAGACTTTTATTTGTGCTTCTAGTAGGGTTTTATTCCAGCAGGTCTCCTTAAAAAGTCCAGCTGTGAGCACTTCTTCTAATCCAGCACGTTTTCTGAGGAGCTTTGGGTTACCGAGTGCTTCTCCTTACTTGGCTTTGAGTATCTCTCCGTGGCCCTGCCAGCGGCTCTCCTGGTCCAGCTGCAGCTCTCTCAGCACTCGGCTGGGCTTGTACGCAGAGTTTATCAGCAGAGTCAAAACCTGGAGACAAAGCATGAAGAGAAAAGTGGCACAAGTTAGGAAAACTAGATTAATTTTACTCTTCAACAAATTGTTGTTTGAGGCATACTGCACCAAAAATCCTCAACAAAGTATTAGTCACAGACAGCTTTAATTAGTGGCTACATGTGGCTACTTTGGGTGCCAACAGTAAGCTAACAAGAACTTCTTGTTTTTTTATTATATATATACATAAATTTCACTGAACATTTGTAATAAACAGTTTACAGCTATTATTGTAGCTATGATACTTTGGCAACACAAAAATGTGTCAGAAATTTGTTTTCATGGGGCCTGGTGTGTGTAGTGTCGTTAGCTGCGACGATGCTAATAAATGTTTGGAAAGAAAACAGCAGCTTAGACTGGTAAATTAGCTAAACTGTAACATACAGAAAAAGATAGAGCGGTAAACACGTCATCGAACTTAAAAAGGAAAATTTAAATATTTACTCATCACTGGAACTATTTAACCTGAGGCAGAAGTATTGATGTCAGATGTCTACGTTCATGATGAAACGGATTGTCAGTGTAATTTATATCGTGTCCTGTTTATCTCAGAAGTCAAAACTCCCTGACCACCCTGTAGATTTAACCATGGAAGGACGAGACTCATTTCACACTTTGGAAAGTAAAATGACAGTTTAAAAAAATAAAACATTTATAGTTTCACTTTGTTTCTACGACACAGAAAGTTATCATCTTAGGACCATGACTTGAAACTAAAAAATAGTTTTCACTTTAAGTCCAAGTGATGGACAGAAAACATTAGGTGGAAATAATAATAATCAAGATCAAGACTAAAGATGATTTATTCTCATCAAACTCAGATGAACACGCCTCCTCACCTCTTTTAGAACAAGGACACAGTTTCCAGGTCCGATGAACTGAGGCAGCTCAGCAATGCGTCCTTTGTTAAGGTAAGGACCTGAGAAGCACCTGTGGTTGAAATAGATCTTGGGACAGCAGTACTTTCCGTTGCCCTGGCCTGTAAAAAAATTAAAATCTAATTTTATATTATATGTAAATATGTATATATGATACAACAGACAGCACTGTCAACCAGTAAACACAGTTCTACCTGAGCTTTGATTCCTACAACGTGCTCACCTGTCTCAGACTGGTTTGTCATCTGCTGTTTGACTGCATCAGGTGAGGAAGACTTTGGTGGCGTTCTGCTGTAAAGTTAGGAGAAAAAAAAGGCTGTTCAGACCGATTTTATTTGAAACATTGAACTAATAAACCCTCTGCTGTACTCACTGTTTCTCTGGCTGCACAACTGCAATTTTTCTTTCTTTTTCGACTGAAAAATATTAGTTCTGACGTCAGGGTAATTGTAAATTGTTTCTTAAAATATACGCGTTTCAGTAATATTCTCATCGAAGTATCTTCATAAAGTGAAAATTTAATGAGCTGACATGTTGTGTACCTGGGAGCTTGATGGGGTAGACCAGCGGGTAGCCGTTTGTTTCACACCAGCTGACTGGAAACATGTCCAGAGAATCCACATGAACTATCAGCTCTGGCATCGGCTGCTTCAGGCCTACAGAACCAAACACACACAGATTAAATAATCTCTTCCACTACCCAGGAGCCAAAACAAGACCGTAAGCTCACTGATCACACGCCTAAACATCCTGCAGTTCAAACGACCACTCTAAGCAGAACTGTGAAAAAATACATCTTAACCTCTTTAGCTAACGCTTTAGGAAATAAAACTTAAAGACTTTAGCCTCAGTCTGTTTGATTCAGTTTAGTTGCTAGATTGTTGGAAATGGACAAAGTTTGACCATGGAGGGGGTAAATACAGCTCTTAAGAAGTAGGTGCAGTTTAGTATTGTCCTCAAGGCTTCAAAAGGGTGTTTCATCAACTAATGGGTGGCGCTTAACGGCTAAATGTATTTAATTCATATTACTAAGCTGTAAAGTAGTAACTAAATTTGACTGATGTGTAATTTAGCATCTTGTTAAAGCAAACTTTAAAACATGGATTAATTTATCAGTGAACAAATTGTTCTGTTTTTATCTATAACCAAAAGAGTTGTTTATGCTCTAATTGTAGCTGTTGAGCCATGAACGTGTGTTTTACACTGATGTGTGTACATTTCTCTCTAGATGTCAGATCCAACACGATCTCATTTGAACTTTTCACATCTGAATCCTGCCGTCTAAAAACAACAAAACGCTGCATCTTCACGCCACTGTTTGCTCATACAGTACAGAGACTTTTAGCTAAACTTAACCCATTCTTTCATGACTCCAGCTCACCTTCCAGGCTAAGCCAAACGTATTGCCCTTTGACCTTTGTGACTGTGGCCACATGAACGTTTTCAGGTGACAGCGGGTTGACAGCCTCCAGTTTCATTGCTTCTTTAAAGCTGTGCTCACTCTGATCCTGAAAAACAAACAGGAAGGATCAAACCACACTTGAAGACAGTTTGATGGAATTTCTCTCTTAATACAAAAAATAGAAACCGGAGTCCGTCACCTGCCAACAACTCCATCTCACTGCAAACATTATAATGTCAGTCAAGCTGATAAGAGTTTCAGTATTTTGCAGTTTTTGACAAACCATTTGTCAAAGAAGAAGAACACCGTGTACTGAACAGCACCATTTAAACCATTTATTATCAGCAGCTAAAGAGAAGCTTCAAGACTGATATCAAAACCTCCACAACTAAACTACTCTTCCAGCAGCGGAGCTCACACGTCTGAGCAGATAAATTATGAGCTCCGACAGTAAACAGAGCAGAGTTCACTTTCTGAGTCCTGAAGTGGAAGCAGCACCAAAATTATAAAATCTATGGTTTCTCGTGACAGTTTATTTTTCTGTCTTTGAAGGGAAATAACCCATTTATATTTAAAAAAATAGCCGTTTTACTGATATGATTAATACATTTGCCTGATTTCATCATAAACAAAAAAACATTTAGATCTTACAAAGTTCAACTAAGTCCAATTAATTTCATTTGGAAAAGCAGAATTTAATACTGAGACACGTTAAATGCAGTCTTCACAAGTGGAAAAAGATCATTTATTTACCAAAAAAAAAGGTTTAATTAAATATTTTTAACAGCATGGACTGATTGAATACTAAATGATGTTTGGTAGAACAGAAGTTGACTCACGTTTGGGAAGCAGTGCTGAGGAGCGGCCTCGGACTCGCACTTTTTCAGGTAATCTGCCCAGTCAAAGTCTGGACCCTGGTTTCCTGTTTATGACAAAACAAACACAAAGAAGACAGGAAAGACAGAAAGATGATGTAATCAGCCCGTTTTGTTCATTATAACTGTGTCTGACTTGGAAACTTCTGCAACATCTGGTCAACTTTATGTCTTTGGACACCCTACAATGTTAGTGCTTTCAGTACGGTAGAGACCATTTGTACCAACAGCTTTTGAAATCAAACTTTCACCGTACAAAATGAGCAGACTGGGATCGTAATATCTTACAAAACAAATTTGGTTACAATACGTACACACTTTGAGATTCTAGCCTTTTAAAACCTGGAATACCTCATTAAAATTCAAGGATTTTAAAGAATTTTAATATACTGGAATCTGTAACCACTGACAAGTTGTAACAGAAAGATAAGTGCGACAGAGCGTACCTGGTGGGGGGGAGAGGGAGAGCCCATTTTTGAGACTCCACTGAGCCGGGAAGATCCCTGGACTGTCTCTGTGACACAGGAAGGATCGACCGGCGCCTTCGGACTCATCAATCCCACAGAGGTCGTCCATTGTCACCAGAAAGTATTTCTCATTGAACACCTGAAATACAAAAAGGATGAGGCTTCGTCAAACGACAGCTCTGGGCTTTAACTTAAAGACACACCGGCTGCAGTTTCAGGCTTCCCAGCATTTCATGAAAACAAATTTCCCTGAGAGTGACGTTCCAGGAGAGTTTTCAGTCACGCAAAATGCTCAGAACTTGTGGTCATGTTAGTGTTTTAGGCGGTGGGCAGAGTCACATTTAGAAGTGACAGGAAGTATACTGTAGCCTGCGGTACATGCATATGTCAATTATTCCTAATAATTGTTTATACTGGATTACACTGGTTACTAAAAAGCCAGCACAGCCAGTCAGTCAGGACACATGTACCATGTACACTGACTCAATGATACATGAATACTAACATTAGGAAAGATCATATTTTAATCAGCAGATCAGTGTTCAAATGAGGTTTTCCTGTCTGGGAAATGTAAAAGTCATTTTCCAGGTTTTCCAGAGTCACTGGGAACCCTGAGTTTTCTAGACCCTTTTTTTTTTTTTAGCTGTTTCTGTTGTAAACATTTGAACTGCCTTCAATTTTATTTTGGGCTGATTTTGATTCGTCTAAAAAAAAAAAAAAAAAGCTGGTTCATATTTAGAAACATTTCCATTTTTTTTAGATTATAATTTTGTGGATACAGGGCCTTTGTCTCTTACTGAATATAGCAAAATAAAGTTCTTCAGATTAACAGGTGTCTCTTGTGGCTCAATGAGACTAGCCTGTATAAATAAAGGTTGAATGAAAAATGACTGTACACAAGTTTTTGTGCAAATGAAATTCACTTTATAAAGTGTCTATTTATAAACCAGATATGTTTTAAGTAATTTGTACACCTCAGAGAATACACTGTATGTGAACCAGGTTTCATAAAGTAGACAAGTGGACTTGAATTAGAACCAGCAGAAACTACAAATGAAAACAGCAGCCTAATTATCTGTAGTGGCCTCCTGTACAGCTTTTGTTTCCTCTAACTTTGATAAAAATATAACAAATGAATAAATAAATACATATATTTCAGTGCGTAATCAGTCGATCACCAGTTATGCTGAAAATCAAACAATTCTGGTCACCTGCTGAGCAATCAATGCATCCCTGCTTTCTTTATCACCTGCTCTGCTTGAGTCACAGGAAATCAAACAGTTTCACTCGTGTTCAAACGTGCACTAACAAATCAATAGACTGAAGTCCATTTGGGAACGAACAAAAAATATTAATAGCCGAAGCAAACAAAACAGCAAACAACTGTGAAACATCGCACCGCAGGAGAAACAGGAAAGACTGTTACCTTGGCGACAGTAGCAGGCCTGATGGAAATAGGTGCAGCAGGGTCAACAGCTTCTAGTTTCATCCTTTCCTTGAAACAATGATCAGCAATGGCAGGCTGATCCTGAAAAACACCAAAAACATACATTGTGGGACATTTTCAAAAGCTTAGCTCTCACTTTTTTATGCATTTGCAAACTCTTAGCTCAGCAGAGGCCTGCCCAAGTGTAAATGGTGAAAAAAGGAGGCACTCAGATGAGGAAAAACAAATAAAATTAGTATTGAGATAACCTTAGTAAACTCTGCAGACAGAGCTTCATCTTGAGGAAGGTTGCTTATCCTCTGTCTAACCTCCTCCCACTCCACCTCAGTCCGAAGTGCCAAGAGCTCTGAAGAAAATAAAAACGCATAAATCAGCTGCTGGAGAGAAAAGCCCAGCAAAGATCTACGATTACAGACATGATTAAGACTAAAGAGAACTTATTAACTAGAAAAAAATGTTAATTTTTCACATGCTTTTATTAAATTTGAATGCTCATTTGACAAAAAAAAAGCTTGTGTTAGGATTAAACTAACACTGGTATTATTTGGATCAGTACCACTGCTTGTTCTGGGCTCTTATTAGCTTCAGCAAACAGTTTCCACAAACACAAAGAAACAAAAACTGGAATAAAAGCAGGGTATTAAATATCAATAAGGTCTCGGCTGCTGTGGCAGGAGAAGATAAATCAGCTGTGTCAGGATGGGTGCTTCTTACGGTTCGCATTTTAACAACACTGTATTTACAGACAGCTAAAAATGATCACCCTAATCGCAAACAGAAAATTAATTTCAAGGTCGAGTGGGTCACTTTAAAATGTTAAGTCCTTTGTTTGAAGAACACAAATGGTAACAGCTATTTTCTGGTTATGAACCGTTTGTGTTTTAGTATTTAGCATACTCTAAATGTCTGAAACTGTTTGACCAGTCTCCCTGTTTCGGTAATGAACCCAGAAATCTAGTTTCCTTTCTAAAACTCGACCAGGTCAAGGCCGCTGACCTGAAGGAGGCCTCAGGGTGCAGCCGTGCTCTTTAGCCCACCCGGGTGGGTGCAGGCGTGGGTGGAGATAAAAGAGCCAGAGTGTGGCGGGTGTGTCTGGGAGGCCCTCGGTGCCGAGCAGTCGCAGCTTCAGCCTTCCTCCGACGTTCTCCTCCACCTCCGCGGCCCAAACCAGCCCCGGGTCGGCGCCGTCCTGGAGCTCCACGTAGCAGCCCGCGCACAGAAGCTCCACTGGGTCTCTGCCACGCTGGGGCTGGGGAGGAGAGAGGGTGTGAGAGGTCGTAAAAGAGGAGTAGATGGCACGCGCACTTACACAAACACACACAAACGCACGCCTGGGTTGTGAGAGGAATTTGTACTGAGAGAATGAGCTGCATGACTAAGTGAGAGAACCGAAGCACAGAGGCTGAAAGTGAACTAATAACACGGGAGAATGTCACAGGCTGGTCCCACACTGAATTCACTTTCAGCACCAAAGCCTGGGAGGTGCACACTAAAGCTCACAGAGACACGAATTTTAGACTTCATGCGGGCTGCACAAAACAAAGAGGGTATAGAAGCAAGATGTGATTTAGTTCAGGTAGAAACTTATTCAGACAGACATTTTCATGGTGAGGTGCTGGTTTGATCATTTCAGTGTTGGGATTAGACGCCAGACAAGAGCTTCAACAACATAAAGACTATTACAAGTACACACACACAGGAAATTAAAACAAATACATGTGAACACAATCAGCTTTGTGGTAACATTTTCTAAAATCTTCACTGATAATGTTGTTTTAGACCCATAAAAAGACAATTTAATCAGATTACAGTGAACTTTCCTTCATGGCTGTAAGTTATATTTTAGACAGACACCTGCTGCACAGTCCCCTTACCATTTCCAGCTGGCTGGCGGGAGCGCTGCACTCCTCAGCCAAGGCCTTCTCCAGCAGAGCCTCCCAGTCTGGATGTTTTTCACGCACACCTGAGGTGGAAGATTCACAGTTTAATTTGACAACCAAAAAAAAAAAAAAAAGCTAAGTGGTCTTAAAGATTACACTAGTATTTTTGTCTAGAGAAAGAGTGCACAATCTGAAACAAACAAGAGTTCATCACAAAGAACTGATTTTAACTAGGGTCAAATTCAGATGCAGTGACTTTATAAACACAAACTGTATTCAGATATTGAAAGTGTTTATTACTGGAAGGTCAAAGTTGATCTAAAACCCACAGAGAAAAATGTGTTTTAGCAGTTGAAGACAAAACTATTAGTAAAAAAAAACTACAAGATCAGAAGGTAAACTTCAGTTTCTCCTAAAGGCAACTCTGACAGAAACAAGTCGGAGCAAATGTGAGTTTGTCTCTGACTGTAAACAAACGTTTCGATAAAATATGCGTAATGCGAGTTGCAGCTATAGATTAAAAATGAGCAAATTTGAAAGAGAAAAAAAAAGGAGGATGTGGAGAGTACTACGTAATGGACAGAAACGCGTTTAAGCTCGAGTGCCTATTAAAGTGTGAAATTAGTTTCAGGAAGACTATCAGCACATTGATCAGAAGGAATGAATCTGCAAAAAGACAAGTACGAGGAGAAACATGTAAAAACGTAGTATTTTATAGTAGAGGTGGATGTTTTAGTCTTTTGAAGGAGAAACTTTGGAGACACCCCGCTGCTGCAGTGGTCCAACTTTTTCTTAGTCTTCTCCGTTAAATTATATTTTCACAAAATGTGCAAGATGCCAATACAAAACAAGAAGTGTTTAACTCAGTTATCATTTAAATATGGATCCAAACAGTAAAAAAAACTTATTCACCAAAAAGAATCTGAATTAAATTTATTCTTGATCGGTTGTTTTTTGTTCTTAAACCCTGATGCCTCTCTCTGGCACAGGTCTAACTCTGGATCTTACCCTCGGGCGGCCTCATGGTTTTGCCGTGCTGCCGGCTCCAGCCCAGAGGGTGCAGGTCTGCAGTCATGATGTCACACCAGAAGTCAGCGCGGCGGTCGTCCTGGTATCCTTCGTAGCGCAGCAGCAGCAGCTGGCCACATGTGGTGATGATGGAGGCCACCCAGTACGGACTGTCAGCCTCTGAGCGCGCACACACCTCCAGCTTCATGCCTGGGGTTAGTCCCGTCTGCGGACCCTGGTCCACCTGAGACAGAAACATTGACACACTTTACTTTAGAGCTCTTTTAAAGTGGACTCTGTACATTTTGAAGTACTTTCAGATTTAAAGTAGCATTTCACAAAAACTAATAGTTGTTTTAAGCTTAACGAGGCCTTCAAACAGAAGCAAAGCTAACAGTTCTTCAGGCGTGCGTCAGCTGTGAAGGTGGTCACCTACATGTTTGAAGGCATGATGGGGCACGGCCACGGCTCCAGTCTCCTCCAGGTAGTCGTCCCAGTTAAAGTCAGCCACATCCTGAGCACACTCTCCATCTGAAACAGTGGCATCCATCTCTTTTCACGTCTTCTTTCCAACATTTTTATCCAAGTGATTTCACACAGCTGCTCGAGGAGTAGCCCTTACCAGACTCCAGCGTCTCCTGGCTCATGCTGGTGCCCCGCCGACCCCTTCAAGGCCGAGACTGGGAGCTCTGAGAGGGAACACAGGAGGAGGACCGTTAACCAGAGAGTATGAGAAAGAGAAAAAAACTGGTCCAGAACTTTGGTGAAAAAGAAAAATCAATAAACCAAATGTGATTTAAGGATAATCAATAACTTATATTATTGGAAATATTATTATTATCATATAAGTGATACTTCTGCATTATAGCAACACACAAGCCAGATTGCATTTGCAATTCCTCTGTGTTTTTATGCCTTTTTTTTACTATTTCATCAGATAAAGCTTGAAAATGAAAACGCAGAGCATTTATAATTTTCAAAATCAAACGAATACTTTTTAAATGGAAAACAGAAAAATAAAAAAAATCTATTTTTCTGAGGATACATTCTTGTACAGTATGGACTCAAAAACTTCTCAAGACACTGACAAACATGGGTACAACAAATAAATATCACATGCATTTGTATGCAAGTGTAATACTGAGTATCTGTACGTTAAAAAAGGACTAAATTGCTTCAATTCGAAAAGGACCAAAAATCACACACAGCCATTTTCACATAGCCCCACAAACACCAAACCTACAGAAACTGTTAACATCTATGTATGGAAGATGTTCTGTTTTTTTCTGGCACAGGAGATGCTTACTTTGAGAAATTTGCTTAAAAAAAAAAAAAAAAAAAAAAAAGAGAAAATGGCCATATATGGAAAAGTGCAACAAACAGAAATTGACACATTTTTCAAACGCTCACAAGCAAAGTTTGTACTTTAGTTTTAAAATCGAATGTTTGACAGTATTACAGTGACCTGCACCTTTAAGAGGAAACACAAACTTAAGACATAAAAGCTATTTGACTTCTTCACTCGGTGCCAAAACAAGAACAAACGGAGCCGTTGTTTCAGACGCTCTGAACTCCTCAACTCGAGGCGTGCTGGGTCTCATTTAACAACGCTCCAAAATTTGAACAATAATATTCAAACGGCGACGTTCTCATCCTGGAATTAGCGCCTCAGAAGCACCAGATGGTTGGTGTTAGCCGGAAAATTGAGTCTCACCAAAGTCACTTCTAGTTGTGAAACTCGTTTTCCAAAACCTTCATCCTTTTCTTGTACCGATGTAAAGATTCAAACAGAGGTTTGACATGAATGTGGACGCACACGTCACGTTTTGACACGAGATGCTGACCCAGGACGCCGTGAAAAGCAGATGAAATAAGTTATCTCAACAACGGAGGTTGTGTGAGCGGGAAAGGAGGCAGCGCTGGGCGTGACAGCGTTTGCCGCTCTGTCAGCTCCACTCCATTCAGTCGACCCGTCAGACTCGTCTTTGTCACATCTGACATCTCTATTAAAAACAGGGGCCCGCCGTCGCAAGCTTGCCCCCACCCTCCCCGACCACGACCCCGGAGCTCCTCTGGGATCAGCGCCGCCTTTCACCCACGACCCTGCACCCAGACCCTCTCTGTCTTTTACCCCGCTCCCTCCGACACAAACGCACACACCAGAGGGCCTCATTGTCCTGGGGAGGGAGGTGGGGGTCACTTTTCTGACACAAGAAGAGAAAAAAAGAGCAGCAGGGTAAGAAGAAAAACAGACCCGAAATAAAAAAAGTTGTATTTAAAATGCTCTGACTGAGCTCACCGTGTAAAACTATTTATTCATTCAGAGATTTTAGACAAACTAGAGAAGCTGCATCTAAATAAAAAGCAGCAAAGCACTAGCTAAAACAACAAAAAGTCAGTAACAATAGCAAAAGGCTAGACAAACTTAAGAGTAGCAGAAATATAGACAAAACAATGGTTTTAAAGAAACTGAATGGAGAACAATAGATTGCTCTGGGATAAATATTTGCTCAAATAAAACATTTTAAATAGTGTACAATTTCCACAAACCAAATGCATTTAAGGCTGTGCATCACAACACGTCAGTAATTTCCCAGATAAATCTTGTCGCTGCCTCTGCTCCATCAGACTGCGCTGCAGTTTTTAGCAGGTTGTCCCGTGCAGAAGAACCAGCCGCTACAGTCGCAGTGCAAACAGGAAGAGAACCACTTCCCTGTTTCGTACCCACTGAACGGTCTGCGTGGACCACAGCTCACTGCAGCCGGCGCTCCGACTGAAGCTGAAAGAGAAACGGTCAAACGTGCACACAAATTCACACAAACACACACAGGCACTCGGAGACAGCTGAGCTCCACGCTGCATCCTCTTTACAGCACTTACCGAGTCATATTCTCATCAGCACTCAGCACGCAGAGCAGTTCTGCTAAAAAAAACTCAACTTCTGACGTTCCGGGTGAGGAACCCAATCTGACAAGAACCACACACACAGACAAACCTGCAGAACTCCGCTGAACAGCTCATCATGACATGACTGTAGCCATTTAGCAGCAAATATGAGAATATATGTAGCTTTTCTTGTTCTTGCACACGCACCTCGTCTTAGAAATGGGATCAAAATTTAGATCTTTTTACTTGTAGATTTAATTGTGATAAGCAAGTTTCCTTTTGCATTTTGTTTTTATTATACAAACAATACCATATTTATTTTGCCTTTATCCGCATTCAGACATTCACCTGCTGTTTAGTTAATTCCTCAAAAAAAAAAAAAAAAAGCATTTTCATTTATGTTATTTTATGTAAACAACAGAGTTGGAAGTTAGGGCTAAATAAACCTGTTAAGCAAAGATTACGCTGCATGGATTAATTTAAATATTAGTTTAATAGATTTCCAATCTGCACCCGACACCCTATAAACTCCCTACAAACAATCTCTGCGCTTCCATTTCAGAGATATTTACATTCATCACTCCGATGGTGTAAAGTTGGCTCAGTGCAGTGCTGCTGCCAGAGACGGAGACAAAAGGTGGAGGAAAAGTGAGTCCTCACACTGCCATGAAATGTTGCAGGTGTTGTGCCGGCTCTCTTGAACAGGATTTAGCAGTTTGTCCAAACGGCTGCTGCATTAGTTTGAGCACGATGCACAGACAACAGGAAGTTGTTAGATCAGCAGGTTTGAGGAGGCGAAAGGTGGATGATGGGTTTGTTAGTGTTTGACTGCTGTGTTTAGGCCTGCCACGATAACAAATTATGCGATTAATTCCTAAATTATTGCGATAAACGATAATATTGTTTGAAATTTGACAATAATTAGTCACTGTCAAATTTAAGAAGCAATGTTGGTTAATTTTTGAGTGTTGTACCTTATTTTACCACCGGATGGCAGTATAAGACTGAACTGAAGGATGGATAGTGAGGGACCGAGCAGTGCGTCTCTCTAAGCAAAATGGGAGGGAGGCCTCTTGACGTGACATGGGCTGTCGCTTGTTCCTTTTTTTTCGGTTCTCAAAATGGCGAACACTCTGTGTGGTTTGAGCTCTTTAGCATAGCATTTTTCACACAAAACTTTTAATTGAAAAAAATCAGTAAACCAGTCCAGAAAAACAACTTTTTACATGAAGGCACGGGTTTCGACCATGAATTTTGGAGCTTCGACAAGACGGAGCTTGTCTTGTCTTGTCCCCCCCCGAGGTCAGCCTGTTAGCTTAGCTCGTGGCTTAGCTTCTCAGCTTAGCTGCTTTTAACGATCCAAAAATGCAATTTTGGATCGTTATAACAGATTTTAAAGAGAAAGGAGAAAGGGAGGGGTCGGTGGAGAGCAGAGTTGAGTCTTTCGTCATCCAGTGTCTTCAATAGAAAGAGAGAGACACAAAGAAACGAGAAAGCCGATAAATGAAAACGAAGTCGATAATTTCCATTTATCGTGCGATTAATCAATTTATTGTTTATTGTGACAGGCCTAGCTGTGTTAGCAAAATACCCCAAGAACCAGAGAACAGACCTACCATATATGTAGCATCATCTAAGAAGACTAAGTCTGTTTGAGGATGATAAATACCCAGAATCCTTCATTCTGTGAGTGCAGAGAGCGATGCAAACACTTGAAACTATGAAACAACCTTTAAAGGAGGAACAGCGACATAAGACATTCTGATAGATGCCTATACTAATTAGGAGGGTATTACCTTCTTTAATCTTGTTTAAGTGTGTGTGTGTGTGTGTGTGTGTGTGTGTGTGGGGGGGGGGTTTCAAAACAGAGATCCACAGCCTAGCCTTAAATGCAATTGCTACATTATATCATGCATTTACTACATAAACTGTATTTTTTCCCTGATTTGATTTACAAGAATAAGTTTTCAATAACACTGAGTGCTGCATGTGCATCAAAACACGAGGAACAACAAAAAAAATACTTGATTTATATTTTTTTTAAAGAGCAGGTAAGGCAAAGCAGCACCTCGTGAGCAGAGGCTTGAAAGTGCTGATTTATGGTTATCATCAAAAAGTTGGTCTAGAATGAAAGAAAATGTTAACGACGGATACAGCGATCAACTAGTACTCAGAATCACTTTATTTCTCCAAATCGCTCCAGCTCAGCACTCGCTGCCCTCTTTTGTGTTTGTTGCATAGAAACCAAGTTTGGTGCCATTACATGTGCAAGAAACAGCTAAAGCTAAAAAAAAAAAACATTTACAGAGTCAAAAATAAATGAATATATATTTTAGCTCTGCTTCAGTTTTAATTCCTATGCAGTTGCATCCTCCTACAAACTCACAATCACCAGAAATGAATCATTGTCTTAAAAATACAAGAATTTAAAACACTCGGGTGCTTTCTGATCACTCTACTAGTTAATTTTACTAAATAAAATGACATTGTGTAGTATTGCGTGGTTGTGCTCATCAGTGATCACCAGCGTAAAATGAAAATTAAAAAATATACTATTGTTTGTGTATTTTGACACCACTGGGCTGGTGTTGTACGTTCACTGCACCGAAATCTGACAAGAAAGAAAAAGAAACGTCTGGACTTCTAAATTAATTTAAAATGTAGTCTACATTTTTGATTCAGCCAAGTTTTATTAAATTACTTAAATCATTAATGTTTAGTTAGAGAATTCAAACACACCTTCCATTTTAAAATTCATAATTTTCCAGACTCATATTTTAAGAGTTTCACTTATTTTCAACTAGTTTAATGTTGATTTGTCATTTTAAATTTACTAAACTTGCAGGTTTATACAGCGGTGCAGTTTAGTGTTGTGGATCTATTTTCTTTACTGGGACGGCTGTGGCTGAGTGGTTAGAGCAGTCGTCCACCAATGCAAGAGTTGGAGGTTCGATTCCACCAGCGGTCACATGCTGAAGTGTCCCTGGGCAAGACCCTGAACCCCTCATCGTCTCCGATGTGTGTCCCATCAGAGTATGATGTGATAAAGCTCTGATTAATCTTTGTATAGATCTAGTAGAGTGATGTATGAATATAAAACATGTTGTAAAGAGCTTTGAATATCTGGATAAGATAGAAAGGTGACAGTCCATTTACCATTTACCCACTTCCCTGTGCGGGGCTACTGGGAGCAGTCCGTCTCCAGCAAAGGGAGAGGCGGGGGACAACCTGGACAGGCCACCTGTCCATCGCAGGGACACGCAGAGACAAACAACACGCCTCACTCTCACATTCACACCGTGGGACAATTTATTGTTAAATAATTTAACATGACCGGGAGGAAACCGGAGTTTTCTCAGACGAGCTGCAATACCGGCGTCCGTCAACAAGTAAACACGTTCCCCCATACTTTTCCACACCTGGAAACTAAAATCAAAACGCCAGTTTTCCACACTTTTCAAGGCTGTGTAGAAAAATCAACGATCTTTGCTGAGAAATACAGTCCAGGTGTGTCTGCTTTGTAAACCTCACACTTTTATTCATCATTACAGTTAAAGAGCTGGTAAAGACACGAGACGCAGGTTTAAAGACCTTGTTCTTCTTCATGCAGCTGTTCCTTTATCAGGGGTTTCCGTAGCGAGTCATCCTCCTCCTCCTCACTCCAACTACCTCCACGTCCTCTCTAACTGCATCCATACATCTCCTCTTTGTCTTTTTTCCTGCCAGCTGCATTTCCAAAATCCTTCTACCAGTATACCCACTGTCCCTCCTCTGGACATGTCCAAACCATCTCAGTCTGGACTCTCCAACTTCATCTCAGTTGTTCATGCTGTGCTGTGCCTCTGATGATCTCACATTCCCATCCTTGTCACTTCTGAGGAGAACCTCAACATCTTCATTCCCACCACTTCCAGTTCTGTCTCCTGCCTCTTTGTCCATGTCTCTGTCTCCAGACCATACGTCATAGCTGGTCCCACCACTCTCTTGTAAACTTTTCCTTTGACCGTTCTCCATCCTGCCTGGACTCTCTTCTTCACCACTCTCCATTCCCCCTCACACTTCAGGAGATTTTAACTTCTTCTTCATGACCATCAGGGTTAAACACTGAGAATAGGAGCTGACCTGCTCAGATCAACTTCAGACTCATCAGGAGGTTGAAATGAAGACGCGCACAGTTGCTCTCCCTCACATGCTCAAATGACAGATGTGTCAGTGAGGCGCCTGCACGCACACACACACGAGCCTCTGCGGAGCGGCAGCGCGCGCACAGAGGAGCACTCAAGTTGCACAACATGGGAAGTTAGGGGTCAGCTGGATAATGTGATGTCGCATCAACTCTGAGGTGGGAACATAAAAGCAACGAGGCAACAAACTGCGTCCTGCAGCATGCGCTTTTAAACCCCGCATTAAGAGTTTGAGCTCGTGCCACCTTCATTATGTAAGGCTTCGTATTGAAAACACAAAGAGGTTCGAGGCCGGAGAAGAGAAGTGGAAATTTCCAGAGAAAACCCAGAAGTGTTTGAGTTTTAAAAGACTGCGCTGCTTGTTGGTGGGACTCACCGCTGCATTCAGGGACAGATGGGCCGTGAACGCCTCTGCAGAGACACCACAGGCGCTAACTTTCACCCAGAAGAACAACGCGCAACCCAAACGCACTCCTCGTAAACAGAAAAATAAATAAATACATAAAACACCCGAACCCGAGTTTAAACCGGAGCGAGCGGGACTCCCGGGACACATGGTTAAAATCGCCTGCGTTCGAGTCAAGTTACTGAACGTCACGGCGGCTCGTGCACCAGAGGAGCAAAAGCTCGCGAGCAAATAAGAAGGGCGCTTACACTCGACCGAAGCCGACTCATCTTTTTGAGAGACGGGAAAAAAGACGAACGCGCCGCAACGACGCGAAACAGCGACAGGAGTTCGTGCCAAACAACGCGGAGCACGTGAATATTTAGTCGCAAAATTCCAGCCTTACCTCCAAGTAGTTTTTCCAAGTCGTTTTTAGATGCCGTGGTCCTCTCCGCCTGCTCGCTCGTTGAAACGTTAAAGCCGCGTGAGCAAGAAAAGCCGAGCTTCCGGTTGGATGTTTCAAAATAAGACGCTCGTTTTTTTTTTTTTTTTTTTTTTTTTTTGTTGTTTTTTACGTGTGAAGTAAATACAGATGGGCAGTGTTGAAGTCTGGGATCAGCAGTCTGCGTCTATTTAGTCTCTCTGCTGCGGCTTTTTGCTCAAACTTAACAGGATAATTTTCACAACAATAACAAAAAACTAGTTTTAGCAATTTCCTGTTTTGCAAAAAACACAAATGATTGTACTAATGCAAGGAAGTGTAATGTAATGCACATGCAAGTACCTTCTTAGCCTGTAACTGCTTTATTAATCCAACTTTCAGCCACTCAGTGTGATTTTTCTCTGAAACCAGGGGTTTCAAGGGTGTAAAACTAAGTTAAATAATAAAAAAAAACTTGTTTTAACCATGGGTTCATGGGCTATTTCAATCAAGACATAAGATAATATAGAACTTTATTGATCCCACAGGAAATTGTTGACATAAAATCATTATTGTGAAAACATAAAATCATAAAAGGAATTGTGAAGACATAATACAAGGATTTTTATATTGGTGTGTTTATTCCTTCTCAAGTCCATGACCATCTCCTTCGTCTTATTCACGTTCTTCCTGCACCAGCTCTCCAGGTGTTCCACCTCCTGCCTGTAGCTGGACTCATCATTGTTTTTTATGCATCCCACCACCGCTGTATTGTCTGCAAACTTTACAATATGACAGCCTGGATGGGTCGGTACGCAGTCATACGTTAGCAGAGTGAACAGGAGGGAGCTCAACACACAGCCCTGGGGAGCCCCAAGGGCTGCATTTGGCCCATTTTAGGGTCTGAAGTTTTATGTGCAGTTTAGGTTAAATTAATTACAGATGCTGGTCACAGGGTTCTGGTTGGACGAAGCAGAAATGTAAAGTGCAGTACTTAATTACTTAAAGTGCAGTTACTGGTCTGACTGATACCATTACAGCTGTTGGTGATAGGCTGCTCAGTATTTTGCCACTACCAACACTTGACCTGGCTTGGTGGAAGGCTCAGTATAACATTTTCCTGTCCCTTGTTTTCACAATATGCATAATATATGTTATTTTAAGTCAAACATGGCGATTTTGGACTGATGCAACAGCCTACGGTACACACAAGGAGAAAACTGTGTGGTTTTACCTGCAGCTACAAGTAGCTCCTCACAAATACATATATACAA